ATTGCTGTAAAGAGTTAAATCATTTTTATAAAAATTGTCTCACAAGAATCATCAGCTCTGAAGAATTCAATAAAAAAATGTAAAAATAGGAAAAGAATCACCAGCCCTCAATATATCAAAATTTATATTTCAAAATAATTTCTCCCAGTGTTGTCATAGTTTGTAAAACACTCAACTCCAGTAGCAGTTTCATCAGCAGATTCTTCTAGGGTAAAAAATGAAGCTGCTTAAAGTATAAATTTTGATAGTCTAAAATGACTTTGCAGAAAAGTTGGCCGGGAAAATTTTATGATCATCAAGATATCCCATTTGTCAGGTATTATTATTTATTTTACTAAAAATGTGATACTGAAAATAATTTTTTGCGATTTGTGTGTATGTTATTCCTGTGCAACTATTATTCCTATTACATTTTTGTAATTAATAAAATATTTTTAGAGAAAAAAGCTTTATATCTCTGTGCCTTTTAACAACAATTTTCTTTTCCTGCCCTTTCAACAAAGTGTCCTACATTTTTATTTTGCACTGAGCCATGCTCAGTTGCTGGCCCTCCTCATGGCCACTTTCATACACATTATCTCATTTAATTCTCATAAACAAACCAGCCAGCGAGGCGTTATCCAGTTTCAGAGAAGATAATCCTGGGACTTAGACAGGTTAAAAGTCATGTCCAAAGCCACAAGCCACCAAGGGGCAGAGATGTAACTTGGAACAAACTCAGACTCTCTTCAAAGTCCTTGCTCCTAACTACCCCCAACCAGTCAACAGGGTGTTATGAGAACGTCCCCAGACCTTCTCCTACAACTCCAAGGCTAGACTAATGCTCTGTCAATGACAGTCTCTTGTGCTGCTACTGTCATCCTTTCAGCCTCGGGGGACGATTAAAGCATTAAAGTAGCATGATCTTTTCAGTTCCTTCATGGTGTCCTTTGCTGTGCAGAACCGTTTCAGTCTGGGGTAGTCCCTCTTGTTTATCTTAGATTTTGTTTCTTGTGCTTTTGGCATCAAATCCAAAAACATCATTGGCAAGACCAATGTCAAGGAGGTTTTCTACTGTGTTTTCTTCTAGGAGTTTCATGGTTTTGGGTCTCATGTTAAAGTCTTTATCTTTTTTGAGTTGATTTTGTGTATGGTGTAATATAGGGGTCCAATTTCGTTCTTCAGCATGTGGAAATCCAGTTTTCCCAGCACCATTTGGTGAAGAGGTGATCTTTCCCCATAACATATCCTTGGCCCCCTTGTCATAGATCAGTTGACCATATACGTGTGGGTTTATTTCTGGGCTCTGAATTCTGTTCCATCGGTTTATGTGTCTGTTTTCATGCCAGAACCATACTGTTTTGCTTATTGCTTTGTTATTTAATTTGGAATCAGGAAGTGTGATGTCTCCACTTTTGATCTTGTTGCTCAAGATTACCTTAGTTATTCAAGGTCTTTCAAGGTTCCATAAACATTTTCTGATTTTTTTGATCTGTGAAAACTGCCGTTGGATAATTTTAGACTATCATTTTAAGTTTAATTCATATTATTCATAAGAAAAAGAATAATAACTTGGTTGGAGCCAACTAAATTTCTCACTAACATTAACTAGATAAAATTGCAAATAGAACTGAATGATAATTTGATCCTAAAAGCACTCTTTAATGCTTCAGAATGTATTATTCAGTAAGCTTGGACTTCCGCATTTATTAACACCAGTTCATAGTTCTCAAATCTATTTATTTTACGCTAATTTTTAATAAAAATTATATATATTTAAAGTGTACACAATGATGATTTGGTATACATATACACAGCGAAATGATTACCACAGTCAAGCTAAATATTGTCTCCTTACTTAGTTACCATCTCCTGTTTGTGTGGTGAGAACACCTGAAATCTACTCTCTTAGCAAATGTCCAGTATTCAATACAGTGTTATTAACTATAGTCACATGCAATACATTCGATCTCTAGACTTATTCATCCTACATAATTACAACTTTGCACCCCTTAACCAATATCTCCCCATTTCCTCCACCTCCCGCCCCTTGTAACCACCATTCTACTCTCTGCTTTTATATATTTAACTCTTTTAGATTCCATACATAAGTGACAGCAGGCAGTTTTTTTTTTCTTTCTGTGTGTGTCTTATTTCACTTAACATAATATCCTTCAGGTGAATCCATGTTCTTGCAAATGGCAGGATCTCATTTTTTAAGGTGAATAATATTCTATTGTATAGATATACATTTTCTTTATACATTCATCCATCCATGGACACTTAGGTTGTTCTCATATCTTGGTTATTGTGAATAACACCGCAACGAACATAGGAGTGCAAATATCTCTTTGAGATCCTGATTTCATTTCCTTTGGGTATATACTCAGAGGTGGGATTACTGGATCACATGGTATTTCTATTTTTAGTTTTTGAGGAACCTGTATACCGTTTTCCATAAAGACTGGATCAATTTATTTTTCCATTAATAGTGTGTAAGGATTCTCTTTTCTCCACATCCTTGCCCATATCTGTTATATATTTTTTTATAATAACCCTCCTAAGAGGTGTGATGTGATATCTCATTGTCGTTTTGATTTGCATTTCCCTTATGATTTAGTGATGTTGAATATCTTTTCATATACCTGTTGGCATGCATTGCAAAGGACACAACAGAATTAAAAGGCAACCTATGAAGTGGGAGAAAATGTTTACAAACAATATATCTGATAAGGGGTTAATATCTGTAGTCTATAAGAAACTCATACAACTCAGTAGCAAAACAATATACAATCTGATTCAAAAATGGGCAAAGGACCCAAATAGACATTTTTCTAAAGAAGATATAAAAATGGCCATTGAAATTTTGACTGGCCTTGTATTGAAACCATAGTTGCTTTTTTTAATACACCTTAAATATAAGAATAAAAAAATGAGCATGGCCTGACTTAGGAGTTGATGAATGAGGGTGTGAATTACTGCCATCTTGTGGTGTCTGTTTGTCTACATCACCCGAAGAGGCAGAACTATTCTTTTCCTGCTTGCCCGGAGGGTGGGCATATACCTGAGGTATCTTGTAATTTCTTTATTTTTTTTTCTTAATGAATCCAGTGAGAGCTCTAACAATTTTATTGATTCTCTCAAAGAATCAGCTATTTACTTTTAATTGTCTCTATTGTTGGTCCATTTTCTTTTCATCCACTTTTATTGTTTTTACTTTGGGTTACTTCCCTTTGTCCTAGTTTCTTAAGGTAGAAATTTAGATTGTTAATTTTTGGCCTTTCTTGCTTCTATTATAAAAGAATTTAATGTTATAAATTTCTCTCCAATGACTGCTTTAGCTGCATTACCATCAATTTTTCTATTGTATTTTCAATTTTAATCAGTTTAAAATATTTTCTAATTTCTCATATGATTTCTCCTTTGACTCGTTAGAAGCATGTTGATTAATTTCAACATATTTGGAGATTTTTCTATATATCTTTCTGTTTGTTCAAATCTGCTATGTCTTTACTGATATAGTGTCTGCTTTTTCTTTTCATTACAAACAGAGAAGTGGTGAAATATCCAATTGTAATTCTTAATTTGTCTATTCCCCCTCTCATTTCTATAGGTTTTTCTTTAAGAATTTTGAAATACTGTTGTTATTAGTTACCTTCAGGTTTAGTATTATATAGTAGTATATATTCTTGGTGAATTAGCCACTTTATCATTAGGAAAAATGCCCCTCTTTATCTCTGGTAACACTGCTTGTCCTAAAATCTACTTGATTTACAGTCAATTAGCCAATTCTGTTTTTTCCCAATTAATGGTTCCGTAGTATATCTCTTTCCATCCTTCTGTTTTTAATCTGTCTTGGTTTTTATATTTGATGTTTCAGGTGGGTTCTTTATAGACAGTATGTGTTTGAGTCTTATTTTTTACTGAGCTGACAATCTCTCCCTTTAAGGTAGAGTGTTCAGAATCTTAGCAGCACGTTCATTCCATCATGTGGACTCAAATTTTCATCTGGTATCATTTTCCTTCTGACTGAAGAAATTCTCCTTCTTCTTCATTTTTTTATACTGCAGGTTAGCTGGAGAGGAATTTTCTTACCGTTTTTGTTGTTGTTTAAAATGTTTTTGCCTTTTTTATTAAAAAAATAGACTATTTTTAGAGCAGTTTCATGTACATAACAAAATTGAAGGAAAGATATAAAGATTTCCATGTACCCCTTGCCCCCGTACGTGCACACCTCCATTATCAACATTCACCACCAGATGGGACATTTGTTACAATTGATGAACTTACCTGGACACATCATTATCACCCAGAGTCCATTCTACCTTCATTTTTTAAACATATTTTTGCTACTATGGAATTGCTTCCATATTCCAATTCCGGTTGACATTTTTTTATTTTGATATTTGTAGGTATTGCTCCACTTTATTCTAGCTCATATAGATTCTGATGAAAAGTTTACTGTATTTCCTCTTTTTATTCCTCTGTATTTAATGTGTCTTTTCTCTCAGGTTGCATTTAAGATATTCTCTCCATCACTGGTTAAAATAATTTGATTATGATGTGCTCAGTGTGGTTTTCTTTATGTGTATTCTGCTTGAATTGCTTTGAGTACTAAAGCTGTGGGTTAATAGTCTCATGAAATTTGGAAAATAACAGGCTGTTCTTTCCTCAATTATATAGCAAAGGGATTATTTCAGGAAGAACAAGAATTCCAATTTCACTGAGTATAAAATTTATACCAGAGGGATAAAATCTGAAAACCCTTGGAAAATCAGTTTAGGTCCCTTGTAGATTACTCTAAAGGTTATACTTTATTTGAATTAAAGGCTAGTCTTTGACATTTTCTAAGTTACCTATTGGGTAACAACTAGCACAATAACCAGAATAAGGGGGAAAAAAAAAAGAACAACAACAACAAAAAAAAACAAGCTTCTAAGTTTTCAGAAAAAAATATTTAATTTGATTTTGCTTCTATAAATTTCAATGAGTCCTTTTTGCACTTTCCAACATTCTCATCATGTTTCTGGATTTTTTATTTCTTTTTTCGGCAGCATTTTCGGCCTCCCCGAGAACAGTGGCCTATCTGTTCCTCCTTTGGAAGGCAGCCAAACACAGCACACCGGCCGTTTCTTATTTTGCAGTAATACCTTTGTAATGCATTGATGATTCCTCCATTTCCTGCAAGAAAGAAACAGAACACACAGGGAAGTTTTAGAGACCACTAAGCTAATACAATGGAAGTCTGTGCTTCTGTTTTCAGATTATGTCAATCTTTCCTTTTGGTATTAAAGGTTTACATCACTTTCTTCATGTCTCCTTAACAGATATAACAGCCTTCCCATGAAAAGGTGGCTTCTGTGGGCTGTTTAGTCTCTTCAGAGTGGATCAGGAAAGATTGGGAAACCTGCTTTAAGGTCCTTGATAATCTTTGTCAGAAAAAAAAAAAAATGTTGTCTCTTTCCCATAGGACAAATCTACTTGGTCTAAAGTTCCCTGAAGAATGGAGAGGGACTGACTTTGAATTGTAATTTCTCAATTCTTTGTACCTTCTCATATCCCCACCCATCTTACCTGGAACAGGCAACAAGAACACAAAGAGCAATGCAAAGAGAAGGTAATGGATCCTCATGACTGACAGTCTTCGCAGCACGCTGAGACTGGATGGAGAGATGTGCTTGTTCAGTTTATAAAGGTTCCAGCCATGAGTAGAAGTAGGCAATGGCTGCAATTCCTGTAATATGACAATATGACGTGTTTCCTGATGCTTCATACCAATGTCTCTTACCACACAAACCACGCCCACTCACCTAGGATTTAGTGACAAACTTAATGAGTGAAGCAAAGTTTGATATGAGCATATGGTTATCCTGATGCCCTCTAGGCTCCAGGAGCTTGTCCAGGTCTGGATCAGATTTGGTTGTAGACATAGATAGGAAAGATCTGCCTCCTTTTGGAAGCAGTTCTAGGGCATGGAGCTTGGAGCTGGCTTGCTCCCACTGTGGTACTTCTAAGCTTTCTGCCTTCCTTCTAAAGTCCTGGAAAAACCTGAGACCCGCCTGAGAACCACATCAGTCCAGCCTTGGACATATTCAGAACCTAGATGTGAACTGGGGCTGGGTCACACCCTGAGCCTGCACACATATCCCCGAAATTGAGATAAAACAGTGCTGTCTTTTAGGTGGCAAGAAAAGGGAGGTAGAATGGGTTACGTTGCAGAGCACCTGACCCCATGTCCCTTGGCCATGATGGGTGCTATAACTCTGGTGAAACTTCATCATAAAGTGCCGTCATCATGAAAACTACCAAATTCATGAGTCAAGAAGGTGTCTCATTTTCCTTCATCAGAGGAAGAAAATGCTGGGATGATCTATTTGATTGACAGGCATGTCTTCCTTGTGGATGACACTCCCCATGCAAATGAGTGGCTTCAGAAGATACATTTAGGACCTCTGGTCACTCATGGCTCATGAGCATTCAAGGAAGTCCAGGGATCAGGTGATTTCCAATAGATACAGATTCAGTATAGAGGGCCAACTGCTTGTTTTTTAAAATTTTTTTAATTATTAGACAAATTTTAAGGCGTCCAATCAATGGGTTATATTGGTCAATAGACTATTTAAGTGGGAGCTGAAGTCACATGGCATTGCCTGGCTGTTGCAACGATAATAATGTTGCAGTTATAATAATGTATGCAATTATAATGGATCTACTGAGTTTCCAGGGTGTGTTAGTTCTAGGGGTGTGTGTTCAGTATCCTAGTGCACCTATCGGATTCTGTAAGCAAACTCTGAACTCCTACTATAGATAGAGACGAGTCCCTTGTGCTTGGGTGTTGGTAGGGGGATAGAAGGGGGTGAGAAACAAAGAGGAGCCAATGTTGGTCCTTTCTCTCAAGGAGCTCCCATGTGATTAAAGATAGATGGACATACAGTCAAATAAACCATAGGGAGTGGGTTTTGGTAAGTGTTATGATAAAGTTTTAAGCACAGGGCTGTGGAAAGGCAGAAGAAAGGTAATTCATCCTGAATGTGAGTTTAGATAGCAGATTTTTAAAAAATATATTTTATTGAGGTCATATTGGCTTATAACTTGGTGTAAATTTCAGGTGTATGTTATTATATTTCAGTTTCTATGTAGATTGCATCATGTTCACCACCAATAGTCTAGTTTTTTTGAGCAAGATTCACCCTGTGCTAACATCCATTGCCAATTTTCCTCTACTTTGTATGTGAGCCGCCACCGCATCTATGGCCACCGACAGATGAGTGGTGTAGGTCTACACCCAGGAACTGAACCCGAGCTGCTGAAGCAGAGCTCACTCAACTTAACCACCAGGCCACCAGGGCTGGCCCCAATAGTCTAGTTTTTATCCATCACCATACATACGTGCCCCTTTATCCCTTTCACTCTCCCCCCACCCCCTTTCTTTCTGGTAACTACTCTTCTGTTCTCCTTATCCATATATTTGTTTATCTTCCACATATGAGCGAAATCATAAAGGGTATTTGTCTTTCTCTGTCTGACTTATTTCGCTTAGCATAAGACTCTCGAGGTCCATCCATGTTGTCGCAAATGGCACAGTATGTCTTTTGTAAAAACAGAATTTGTAATTGTAGACATTTCATCTCATATATATACATGCACACACACATATATATGTGTATGTGTGTGTGTGAGGAAGACTAGCCCTGAGCTAACATCCGATGCCAATCCTTCCTCTTTTTGCTGGGGAAGATTGGCCCTGGGCTAACATCCGTGCCCATCTTCCTCTACTTTACATGGGATGCCGCCACAGCATGGCTTGACAAGCAGTGCGTCAGCCTCCACCCAGGATGCAAACCTGCTCACCTGAGGCTGCCGAAGCGGAGCATGCAAACTTAACCACTATGACACGGGCCGGCCCCCGCACTTCATCATTTTAAAATCTAACTTTCCTCTACAGTTCAGGAGTTGAGACAAAGCATATATTTTTAAATGAGAAGGAAGTGAGTTTGGGTGGGATGGATGTTGACTGTGCAGAGTCTTACTCTATCCTACACAGGATAAAAGAGAGAGGGTGAGCCGGACGTTGTAGAGTATTATAACCAGGTCTCAGCCCAGGCGCAAGGCTGGAGTCATCAGTTCATCAGGCCACTGGTGAGGATTCACTTTTCCACGTGGGGAACAGACCCCCCACAGTGGAGACCTCCACTCGTTCAAAGACTGGGAGGCATTTCTGAGGCAACACCACTAGTTCATAAGAGGTTCTTTGGGAATAAAAGCCTCCTTTTCTTGTCAGATAATTTAGAAGCTGGGGATTGAGGATTAAACTATGGCCGTGGCACCTACCCCACTCACAAAATGAGTTTTGAGGAGGATGTCTATATTTTAAAAATATTATACAAGTTATGCATGTTTGTGGTAAAATATTCAAACAATAGAAGAGTGAAACAGTGTTCTTCACATCTCCTCTCCTTGGGGAACCACTGGTATGTGTGGTTTATCTTCTTTTTGGCTTATTATACCTTTTTTATAATGTCAAAAATACGTTTATCCTCTCAAGTAATAGCAGTTGCACATTTATTGTCTGATGATAAATGTGTGCCTATGGAGTCTGAGGACACTAATGAGAGCTGCTGTCATGCCCTGGCCCACGGCTTTGGGTCACCAGGGCTTGAAATGCAGACCTTGCAAACCATTGTACTAGACACACTAAGTTTCCTCTCAGCTCTAAGGGTCAGTGTTGGCTTCAGTGTTGATTAGGTTGAGAGAGGAGAGACTAAAGTTATTTAACAGTTTTGTTCATGTCAGACTTTCCTCTAATTTCCTCTTTTTTTTTTTATAATTATGGTTTTAAAATATAGAGCAGAGATTGGGTTGGTCCAAGTTTTTGGTTGAGGGGCAGCTCTATGTGGAGGGCAGAACACTAGGTTTGGAGTGAGAGGTTACCAGTTTAACTCTCAGCCCTATCATTGGTTATTTGTGCTTATTTGATAAATTCCTTAATCTTTGAGCATCTGTATCTCAGCAATAAAGCACAGAGAGTATCACATGTCCTGTTCAGCTCACAGTGAAAGCCTACGAGTTTATGATGTGAAATTGACTTGTAAACTGCAGATGACCATTTGACCCATGTATCGCCTGTCTGGCCCTGGAGAAGAATACCCAGTGAGGGGTGGTGAGCAATATCAAGGCAGAGTAAATATTGTGATGTGGAGTCACAGCAAGGGGATCCAGAATTTCAACTCTTTTCTTTATCTTAACACAGTGTACAGGTGGCTCAGCCGTTCTCCTTTGCCACTATTTCACTCTTGTTCTCACGGCTGTTTTATAAGTTCTACAGGCAAAGATAGGCATCGTCTCAGTTTTACAGCTGAGGAAACTGAGGCTTAGAGATGCGAAGTGACTTGTCCTAGGCCACCCAGTTCGTAGCTGGCAGTGCTCTGAACTGGAATTGACCATTGACATTTCCCAGACACCCCTGCCCTCCAGGTACCATATGGATTGGCCAAAGGGATGCACTGTGTGTGTGTGATGAAGATTAGCAGAATATGGGAGGGCAGAAATTGGTGCAAAGCCAGGATATTTCTCTTCCTGTACTTTGGAAGACATCTCCTCTGTGCCTCCAGTTCCTACCAGAAGGCCACTTCATCCATGGTCTGCCAAGACCCCAGCTTATGTTGGGTGGTCCGTATCCTAGGCTTTGGGAACATTACCTCCTTCCTCTCTTTATCCCTCTAGGCCTAGGGATAGTAGTGTCTTTCTGCTGTTGTAATTCCAAGGTGAGTCACCATACATTTTAGCTTCTCAGCTCTCCTGTCACCTATATAGGCAATTGCTTATATTGAATTCCCCCCATTTAAGGTGCTTAAATTAACTTCATGGCCCTTGTCTTCAAAGTCTATGCTCCAAACCTTCACAATATTAACGTTCTGTACATTCTTTTCCTTGCAGGGACATTACCATATTGTCACCAGCTACAGTAATACTTTGCTACACACTGCCTTCCTGTGTACTTTACCAACATCATAAGATTCAGCATAGAGCAGGGGCTTTGAAACAATGGTATGGAGTTGCCAGTAGCTATCACCTTGTTGTGGCCCCCTGTTTACATGTTCTCGCAATTGTGTATGCTTCAACTGCGGGTGCGTATGTGAGGCAGGTTCTAGCATTCCGATTTATCACTGTTATTTTAGCTTACTTGTTTCTCTCCAAAGGAATGTAAACAAAGAAACAGGAGAAACAACATTTTCCCAGCTGTAACCACAGAAGACCTTTTCTTCTGGAAGGCTGGCAAATGTAGGCCTTTAGTATAGGACCATCTATGAAAGTATTTTGTTCTGTCAGTGTATTAGGTATCCAGAAAGTTTTAAAAATCAGCTTAGCACCTCGTCTCATTTGCCCACTTTGTGCACTTATATGCTTGCATCTACTGTAGGCCTCCGAGCTATAATTCCTGCTTTAGAAGATATTGTCTTCCCTGCAAACTCAAGTTAGAGAGGCTGCTCAACACGGGGAAGTGGATAAGAGGGAACATAGGGTAAGTGAGTTGTCTGTCTCCTCCAAACTAGCTGAGTGTGGACAAATACTTAATATCATCTTCAGGCAGCAAGTTTTCTTGGGATTTTTGCATCTTCCAGGCATGAACAATCATTGTTGGCCCTTTAGTATCCTGCAAATATCCTCGACTTGTAAACACTTTATTTGATAT